AGGAGGTCACAGAGACAACCCCCATTGTTTGACCTCCTGCGATATTTTGCTGTGGAATTGTCGCACAGAAGCTTGGCTGGCACACAAGTATTCTGAAATGCGAACACCCCACTGAACCTGCCAAAATTAGCACAAGAAACTATCTGTGGTCAGGGCTCTGTATTGAGTGCCAAACTGACATGTACACTTGCCAAATAAATATTACAGGTACATCCACTCACCGGCAGAGTACTTGTGCTCAGCAAGTCACAGGACTGGATAGTCTTGATGCAAAAGTGCCAGAGCCTAGCTATTCTTTTGGAACTGTACTCAGAAATAAATGTACGTGTTATGCATCAGTAGCATTTTATTGCTATCTGTACGACAGCATGGCTTCGCCGAAGAACTAAGTGTTAGTGACATCCCCTTGTTATTGCACATGTGTGAGTTTTGTGCATGTATATATAACGACTGTTGTTATGTTCTTATGTACCAATTGCTACTTCCCATTGCCAGCATGCAGAAGCCTTTCTCTCTCTGTGGATACGCTAAATAGCAACTATTAGGCCGAAAATTTTATTTATATGTAATACTAGATCGTCTGCCAGCAGATAATTGATCCTATTAAAGTTGGCAGCAGGTTCTTTAAAAAGTCTGGCCTCACTGAAACAGGCAACAAAAACTTGGGCCATTACGCAAAGAGAACCCTGATGGGATGCGAAGCAGCAACGTTGCAGGCAGGTGGCGTCACGTGTTGAACGGCGCTAATCCAGGGGCTGTGGTGAGCACTGGAAGATTCGTTTGAAGCGACGGCTGGCGTAGGTCTTGTAGGTGACACGTAGAGAAATGTTTCAATGTGTACGTCAGGCCCGCACTTCATGTGAATCGAGTCAGCGATGTAGCGAGCGGGAGACGAGGCGGCAGCTGCGGGCATCACGGTAGGCGAGGGAGAGAGTGACGTCAATGTGCAACAGCAGCGTGATTCACTTGGCACCGCGCCATCACCTACAGCGCATTCGTATGAAGGGACAGCATTACACAGGCTAGTCAAAGAGCGGCTTCGCATCTAAAACTTGGCACAGAGCCTGCTCATCATAGCAAAAAAGCTGCAATATTTTAATCTCACTAGGAAGGGGAGCAGTGGGAGCTAGGCAACAGCAGCTTACACTGTATGTGCTGAATGTTTGCAGGCCCACGCAATGTCATTCAGTAGTATTGCAATGGTCTTTGGCATGCATTCCTTGATATTTCTTGTGCACTGTAGAGTGAGCAAAGCATTCATGCCTCATGTCGCACGTATCATGAGGTGGGCTCTTTGGAGTATGCCATAGGTGCTCGCCAGAATGGTTTAGAAGATTTACCCGCGGCATGGGAGGTGCCGCAAATCTCGGACAAGGCAGGACACTGGGCTTACAGACTGATGGTGTTGCCTAATACCTCTGTCTCACGCGGCACGTGTATTGTAATTTACAGCACATGGCATTCAAAACTAATGCAATTGCGATCTTGCATTCCGGATCTACACGGCTATGTGAAATGACATTACCAATTCCTGTCAATATTTATCGGCAGGCTGCTATGACACCAAAAAGTTACAAATCGCACATTTAAATTACATAATATTGTCAGGCAGTTTCAAACCTGCAGACGGCAATATTTAGAACTATGCCAGTGTACAAGAATTTGTGACCGCCATAAATTATGATCAGTGCAACCAAACAATAATTGCTCTCCAGTTGCTGCGAATGAAGCATCAGAACCAACCCAAGTGCATCAAGCTTTATATTGAAGAAAGATCACAGATGAGGATTTTGGAGCTGCGGCTACACGCCGATTCGTTTATGTTGGCTGCTCTATGGGATTTGACTTCATCAGCGAATAACAGAGAACTGTGGTGCTTCCCAAGAAAGAAAAATTGGTTTGAAAACACTCTCCCTAAAGTGGTGTCCGACATGCACGTGCATGTTCTGCTACTAGCGAGTCTAATGCGGCGACGCTGCACCGGAACAACAAGCGTGTTTAAACATATGGCTGACATGATGCGCTTTATCGTCAAGTTAGAGTCTGGAAATGAGAATATAGCAGCACAAATTGATTCTACTATAGTGTTGCATGTTGAAGAGTTACTGAAAAGTTAACAACCTTTAATAAACATGTGAACATCGTTTACACTTGCTTTAGGATGTCGACTTTGAAATCTCTTGTCAAGCGCCCGTTGACGAGAGTACACATGTCGCCCTTCCACAATTTCAGTGAACACATTCAACGAGTGAATGCCATTATGTATGAATATCATCAACTATGCCCCTGTAGAAGCAACAAAAGTGACATAAACGCCTATTGTCATTCACAGCGAGTGACATTACAGGTGCCGTGTGAAAAGGGAGTAAGAGTAGTTGCCGCTACACGACGGGTCGCCAATAGGGTGCTAGTGTGGTGGATGTCTGTTCGAGGATGCATCTTTAAGGCCAACATGAGATGTGTCCTTCCCTGAAAACGACTTGAGACGTACAGGGGTCTGTGATCAGGATACTCAAAGATCGACTGGCTGTGCAGTAAGCTGTGATATTAACGTGCGAAATGGTGGATGCCGAATTTAAATCACAAGCAGGCATGTCTTCCATTTTATTTTTGTCATGGACTCAAAGCCCAAGCACTCTCCACAATGAACTCTACAACTTCTTCATAAAAACTGCAATTCTTCCAAAGCACTTGTAATATGGCATTGGTCACTGTAGTTTTACACTTTTCTTGGTTGATCAAGAAACAGCTGAGGTTTCTTGATGTCTACACCACCCAACTTCTTTTACCGGTTTCCATCAAAGTTGCGTCATGCGTGGCGACAGATGCCACCAGAATAGACACCTAGTGAAGCTACCTCAACCTTCGCCTTTTCTATGACTCAAAGGTTACAACCTTTAGTAACCTTTAAGCTTTTTGTGTCTTAAGGTCTTAAAATGAATCTGCAGAAAACGAAAGTAATGTACAACAACCTCGGAAAAGAGCAGTGCTTCGGGATAGGTAATAGTGCACTTCAAGTTGTAAAAGACTATGTCTACTTAGGGCAGGTAATAATTGCGGAGCCGAACCACGAGACTGAAGTAACTAGAAGAATAAGAATGGGCTGGAGCACATTTGGCAAGCACTCTCAAATTACGACAGGTAGATTGCCACTATCCCTCAAGAGAAAGGTATATAACAGCTGTATCTTGCCGGTACTTAGCTACGGAGCAGAAACCTGGAGACTTACAAAGAGGGTTCAGCTTAAATTGAGGACGACGCAGCGAGCAATGGAAAGAAAAATGGTAGGTGTAATCTTAAGATACAAGAAGAGAGCAGAGTGGATTAGGGAACAAACGGGGGTTAAGGATATCATAGCTGAAATCAAGAAGAAGAAATGGACATGGGCCGGACATGTAGTGTGTAGACAGGATAACCGCTGGTCGTTAAGGGTAACTAACTGGATTCCAAGAGAAGGAAAGCAGGTTAGGGGGAGACAGAAGGTTAGGTGGGCAGGTGAGATTAAGAAGTTTGCGGGTATAAATTGGCAGCAGCAAGCTCAGAACCGGGTTAACTGGTGGAACAAGGGAGAGGCCTTTGTCCTGCAGTGGACGTAGTCAGGCTGATGATGAAGCTTTTTATATACTTTGGCAGACCTTTACCCCAGAATTAAATGTGCTATAGATACAGTAGGCTCTTGTTTAATGAACCAAGGAGTTCGGAACATGCCCATGGTCACTAAATAGGAGTTCCACTTACTGGTAAATAGATAGGGTTACAGCATTCATGTACCAAACCAATCGTATATTAGGGACACTTCCATTTGAACAGTAATTCCTTTTAAGATATTTTCATTTACTGAGAGTGTACTGTACCTTATTTCTTGTGTGAAAATGCAAGTGGTAAGCTGGAGTAGAAATTGTTCACTAAAAGCACCTGCCCATCTCTCCATTTCTTGAGTCTATCTCAAAAAATCTTGAGCCTGTCTGGCTGATCACCTTCCAGAGTGAATGCTTGCTTTTCAGGAGGTTCTTTCTCTCGTGCATGTCTCAGAGAGCTGAACCTTAAAGTTCTGCCTACAATGTATATACATAATAAAAGTGACAACACCATGACTTCGTCAAAGCACATCAGCCAAATTTCTGTTCGATGTTTGTTGCGAGGCTCCACTTTCAGAATACAACCTTGCACCCATGTCAAGAGTTTGTTGTTTAAGAAATGTCACAAATTCAAATGCATCAAAAAGCAGTCATGACTCACTAGTTTATTCTTACTAAATGTGTGCGTTTTACATATGTATTTTTACCCTCTAGTGCAATAACGTAGCAAATTGTGAACAAGGTAACAAATGCTTTCATTTCTAACACGCAGGTTTCATTTTATAGACCATTAAAGCGCTTGGGAGCAGCTGACTCCAACACTTGTAGTTAAGGTTAGAAAAGTGAAACTAAAGCAACATCACATTATAAACGGAAAGCATATAATTAAAACGGAACAAATATAAATTTAAATAACATAAAGTGGTGCTGCAAGAACGATTATATTATTTAGTGGCCCTAAAAAGGAACTCTGGGCTTGCATCATGATGACCAGCACTTCTGGTCCTTCTACATTTCACACTGGATGCCTCCTCTACAGTGCCTTGCACCTCCTCTACAGTGCCCTGCACCTCCTCCTTCTCCGGCTCTACGTCCCTATAGATGCGGCGGTAGACCCTTGCCGCGGCCAGGACTGCAAAGCTCGGAACGCCCTCAGTGGTCGTCAACCCCAGCGTTTTCAGTAATTTTTCCTTCCTTGTATAGTCTCTCGAATCCCTTGCTCGCAAGGCTGCCTTAGCAGCATCCTTGAAAGCATCCAAGACTGCCGAAGGCAGAGCATTCCGAAGTTCCGGGTCGGTCATCCTCGTGAGCTCCCCCAAAAAAGGTAGTGTGCATGCACATAATCTTTTTCCCCATCAAAGCCCCTGGGGATCAAGAATAAAAAGGCCTCTGACATCATAGCCACAGGGTAGTCAGGCGACTTCAGGCACATCGCTTCCGGGGAGACTGGTAACCTGTCCCGGAGCTGGACTGTGGCATAAACAGTGGCATAATAAAAAGTCGTGGCCACACGGGAGAGTGTAAGCACTGGAAGTAAGCACTGGAGAGTGTAAGCACGCCCGCGGTTGCTTTTTCCAGCAGATTGTACCTCTCCTCGAGTCTCTTGAACATCGCAAATTCCTGGGTGTCAAGCCTTTCCTCCATTTTACTAATATTGGAACCGCAAGCAACAAACAAGTTGACCATCCACACGATGTCTCTTAACAGCGCCTCCTTGCTGAGATTCTGTTTGCGAGCTGCTTTTCTCAGGGCACGGCAGGTGGCCCTGGAATCACTACGGTGGTAAACTGGTTCCACAAACAGCCTGACCATTTTCTCAAACGGCATCGGATCACGGATATACGAGTTAAGAGATTGCATGATTCTTCGCATTTCGTCTTCTCGGATGCACATGGTTCCATCAGACATTACCACAGCCACACCCAGGTCCTCTTCCGAATTCGCTGTCCCCGCGGGGAAGGCCACTGCTCCCGATGGCCCCGCTTCATCAGCTTCCGTCTCTAGTCCTGCCAGTGGCTGTGCCTGAGACCAGTAAAATCAGAATCATAATTCCAGGGACATATTTTTGACAGCAAATAAAATAAAGTTTACCTCTCATATCAGCAACGATTTACAAAATAAACAAAGCACTCAACATTTTGAAGATGGCATCATGACAGCACTGGGGCACAGGAAATCTGCTTTTTGGGAATCAGCCAATTCGTTGTTTGGGACATACTTGATTATGGCTGCGTAGTCTATGGGCTAGCCACATAGTTCTACTGGAAACCACTGGAATACATTCATAGTAATGGACAGCACTTAGCCACTGGTGCATATACAAAAACATTGTCAAGTATGCGTTATGATTATAAAGCATCTCCAGAATGAAGAACACAACTCAAGTTCAACTATGTCGTCAAAGCTTACTACTAAGCACCAGGATTCACGTGATAACATTACCACATGCTGAGACAAATTGCTACTTTACAGGAACAAGCCTAATGTTATTAGGAGCCCTGACAGCAACCTACAATTTGCAGTTTTCAGTGAAAATAGAAGTAGAAGGTCTGATATATATACGATATATGAAAAAAAAAAAACAGTAAAATTGACTAGAGGGGATTGTGGCACTGCAATCGTTCAGCGATGAAGTAGTACACGGATTTGCCTAGTCTTAGTACTTCCGGGTCTCAAATCCCAAATGTGGCTTCGCGTATTCCTGCGTGTTGGCTTTGTTTTGAATAAAAGAACTAACCATTTTGAACTTAGTGACCCGATTTGAAGTGGTCAGCCTCAAAAATTAAGATAGTGAAGTGCAAATTCTGAATATTGGCTGGCTGTCGTTTCGTGACAAAGCAACTTCAAGCCACACGAAGCCAACTGGGGCCAAAATTACGAAAAGTTGATAAATCTGTGTACTGCCACAGAGGCTGGGAATGCCTTCCAGCATTTCGGAGCAGCAATCGGAGCAGGTAAAGTCTGCTTTTGGAGCAGCTACCTCTCTGTTTAGAGCATGAACGAGCTTTTCATGATATACACAGAAGAAAAAAATTAGTTTTAATTTAGTTTAATGTTCCCACAGTTTACATCATCATTTACACAGAAGCAGCGAGCACACAAGTACAAAAAATATGTAAAATCAGCATCATATACAAAAGCGGTGACATAAAACAGTGAAGGATATTGCATCAACAATTAAGCTACCTGCAGCATGAAGTTAGCAGCACGCGCGCAGATTCACACACAGGCATGTGCACGGGGAGGGGGATTGACATGATAGGGAGGAAGGCACCCGTGACGAACATTTGCTCGCCTCCCCCCCCCCCCACACACATTCGAAACTTGTTACAGTAACACCTCATTAATACACACAGTGTAGAGACTGCGGCTTACTGCACATTGAAATAGCATGTCCTTAACCACGACGTACCGATTTGAGTCTCTTTACGAGCGCCATTGCCACTAAAAAGGAATAAATACACTGCCACAGCAAATATTTTCTAAAGTTCCCACCACAATGGAATCTTTTCCTGTTTACCAAATTTCAGAAATGACTGGCACTTTCGCACGGCCATCCGATATAGCACGTGGTGGTGACATCAAGGAGAATTTCGAAACTATTGTGGAGTCAATGCAGGATACAGAGCCAACGCAGCGACTGCCATAGCGATGGACAGAAATAAGCAGCAAATGTGTGCCGCGATTAGCTACTTAGTGAAAACAGACACAGATTTTTTTGGGACCGGGTGTGGTAGCAGAAAGCCGATCGTCTACTGGCTAGTTCCATGCAGTGCTTTGCCTACTTGGCATACACACCGTGCCAAGTCACTTGTCCCCACTCCGCTTCAGACATGCACAGATGTGGCGAGATAAGCTATTATGTTAACGCGATGATGCCAGCTTTCTGCAAGCGATGCTCTAGCGGTCCAGGCGACTGAGGCATGTTTGGTTGTCACCCTATGAAAGCGTGCTGTCTCACTGCCCGCGATGCAACGCTCAACTTTTCAACAGCAAGCTACTTTCTTTCTGCAAAGCAGTGCACGCCGAACACGGTCTTGTATAATGATCGAGATGGCAGCGATCGGCGCCCCTAAGCGCTCAGGGTACTCGCCAGCTATCGCCTTCATTCTTTGGCAGTGATTACCACAAAAGGCACCGCCGCAATAGCGCGGAAGTGGGAATAATTGGTCGGTCTATTCCCAGCTCCTGAAGCTACGAATTGCACAGATATGCTGCAGCGCAAGGGTACAAGATGGTGACCATCTTGTAAAGTCTACTCATATGCGAGCTGTCAACATTACCTTCGATTCCGGAACACCTCGTGGCGCAGCTATGGTGCAAATCAGACAACAAAGACCCTTTTGGAGTAGTATGGCGCAGTAATTTCCAGTTGGTGCAGGCTTTCCACCACCCATAATTCCCATGCTTGCTGAAGTGCCACACGTTGCAGTGCACATAGACACTAGCGCCTGAGTTCCCCCCCAGTATATCACTAGGAAACTACGTGAGTCAAAAAATATTCCAAGCCAAAATAAGGCCTAGAAGTCGCAGGCTTTAAACCGAGCTTACTGCCGTCGAATGTCATTTAGCCATGGCAAGTGACGTCAAGGGCTGTATGGAGCAGGGCCGTCGTCAGTTACCGAATATTTTACCACACACAGCCTGTATGTTGCTGCTGCCCCGGTGTAGCATTGTTTAACTGGGCTGCAGCAAATCATTTTATTCCAGCGACAAGCTGAACAAAGCTAAATTAGCTCGATTCCATACGCAGCTGAACAGAGAACAAAACCAGCGCAAAAAGGGGAAACACTTAAGCAAACACACACACTCAGCACTTTGTGTGTAAGTTTTCATCTAATGTGTTTTGTGTTCTTCCAGTGTTAAATCTATCTTGGACACTGTACAGATCTCTGTAAAACTCCTCCGCTATTTTAACTATCCTATCCATATTGGTAGTTATTTTGCCTTCTTTGTCCCTTAGTGCATACATCTGATTTTTGCCTATCCCAAGTTCCCCCTTCACTGCTTTGACGCTTCCTTTGTTTTTCACAGCGTGTTCAATTCTCTCCATGTTATACCTTTTTGCATCCAATCCAAAAATATTGTATGTCTAAGTCTTCTCTCTTTTTATTTTTTATTGGTATTGTGGCTGCATTTCTGGAGATTAATGGCCATGCTAGTTCATACAATCTGGCGGATTTGTGTGAAATGTGGGATGGTAATTTGTCGGTGGATCTAGCCTTGTCATATACAGATACGCACGCTAATTGCCCGGCCGGGTTTCCTTCGTTGAGATTATGTCGGAAAACATCAAGGCAGCTTCGCACGTGGCGCTAAGCCTGAAAGAGGTGCAGAGCTTTTTTTGTTTCTTTACAGATTTTTTTCTTTTTTCACTTCTTTTATTTTCATTCATTTCAACTTTCCTTCCTATTTTTTTCCCTTTAGATCTCGCTTGCTTTTTTTTTTCATTCCTTTACTTGGTTTTGCATGCGTTATGCTTAGCGACGACAGGCACGTACTGCCCGGGCCCCTAACGAGCTCCGCAGTTGATATCATCATCGAAGCACTCGAACAGATTCCTCGGCGCGAGCCCCGAGAAATCTTCTTGCATATCTATCCGTGGTGTAGGAAGTTTTAGAATAGCGCACCGCGAACCCTTGCGGTGCGGTCGCTGCCACTGCGCATGCGTCGTAACGCGAGTCGGCGTTCGCGGACCGCATACAGAAAATCCGAAATTGCGTGCGGCACGGAGGTAGGAAAGAGCGTGCGGTGATGGCGGCCCGCAAGCGCTGGTTTCGAGGCTACGGTGTTGCTGCGATTATATGTAGCGGTTCGCAGCAGGGCAAATGCTATTCTAAAGCTCTTATGGCGCCCGCAATGCCCGCAGCGCTCGCAAACGGTATTCTAAAGCTCCCTAATATATACACGCCATGGATGGATATATGAATACACGGTTTTGCCAGATCGTTACACCAGCCTACGTGAGACGACAACCTACAACAGCCCGGGCGCCATCATGTGCTTCGCACTTAAATTGATTATTTGTTTAAAGTGAACTGTATACGGAGGCCTGCAGGCGACAGCGCGCGCAGCAGGGCGAGGTGATTGCGTCTTTCAATCTCACTGCGCTAATTGGCGTGAATGCCCGAAAATGCACAGCCGAAGCTGTGATGGCAGCCTTTGAACTTCTCACGCACAGCCCAACATGTCGGCGGTTATTTTTTTTTCGCTCGATCCCGCGAATGCTATCGCGTACGGCGCTCTTCCGGCCCTCATGACTCGCCATCTAGGCTCCAATTAACACGATTTTCATTCGACGATTACACATGCGGGGTCCTCAGTGTTTAAAAACAGCAACAGTAGTCACGACACGTTCTCTTTTCTAAATGCCGATCACGTCCATGCATGCGCAAACACTTTCATGTGACGTACGATCGAGTGCACAACGCCGAAGTGCTTCTCGTAAACATTCTTTGTTCTTCACTTAATAAAGTTTACCGTACCATAACAAATAATAAAAAATATCACATTAGGCCGGTGTCTCTCGGGCTAGTTGGTGGAGTCCACATAGTTGCGGAATCATTAATATACCCATTACATATCGTGATTATTGTCGAATAGACTGGCTGATTCGGTTCACCTAACATGCGCGATTCAATCTACGAAATGTGATTCAAAACCATATCAATTAGCGCGAATGAGCATGACCGTGCTTTTCACCGCGCCAGCAGGTTTCGCAATGAGCCGTTAGATTATTTAAAGCGTAACGTTGCTACGATCAGCTTTATTCCTTTAAACAATAACTAGGCTTTGAAGCGCCCCCGTAAGGCAACATAATTACGCTATTTATCACTTTATGACGAGGATTGCAAGGACTTACCATAGCGCGAATTTCTTCTCGGCAAATTAAAGCGGGTCGTAGAAGGGCACTTCAGCGCGCACGTGGTGGGAGCGGATCCAGATAGGGACGCGTTCACTTTCTCATGTACCTAGGCCTCAAAGCCGCCCTCAAAGCAAGCGGTCTAGGGAGAAAATGCGCCTAAAAAGAACACGGTTATTATTTTCTCATGGAAAGATAAAGGCAGATCACTTACTCTGTGTTAAAAATGCAGGTAGCGCCACCACTCAAAGTAAAAAAAAAATATATCACAACGTAATTCAGTGTACAATACCTAAATGTTTAAAACGACCATACTTATTTTTAGTTGAGTTAAAATAGAAATTGGCATCCTAACAAGACTGCACAATATTTATTCGCGATCGTACAACTAGCGGGTTTGGGTGAACAGCTGAGGCGGTTTGCCTCCTAGTAGCGATTGCTACCGATTAGTTTACGAGGCTAACTAGCGTGAGCACTTTCGTGAACTGCACATCATCGTAGGAGAAAGCTGCACCGTAGGTACTGCTTTTTGCCTTTTCAAGTGCTCCTGCATGTCACAAGTTACGCTTTAGCTACGGCCCATCACATGCCATAATCCCATAGTGTACTAGATCAATGGATATCTTGTGGCCTTTGTCTTTTTGTCATCGCTCCATGTGCTACTTATGTATTTCGCTATGGCGGCGGGAAAGGGTCTGTCAACTAGACTTGATGTGCTAGTGCTTCGGCGTTTTTGATTGCCCAGCGTTTGGTACGTTTCGATCCGGCCTGTAAACCTCGGTGCAGTGGCAATCGCCTACAACAATTAGAAGGACCCAGGATAGTCTGCTGCCGTGGGTGAGTTTGCGATTGCCTGGACGCTAGTGACAAGTTCTGTGCCTGTATGCCGGCCGGTTTCTAGTGTTCGAGCAAACATTGCGTCGTTTTGTCGGGGAAAATTTAACTTGGGCGTCATACGGGCACTTTTGAACTCAAAGGAGCACTGATGCGAATTGAATTTCTCTTGCGATTTGCAGCTCCCTTTTTGCATCTTGTGTGAATAAGCTAATCGTGAATAGAAAATGTGATATTGGGCCTGTCACTATTAAAGTTTAAGTGCACGGTGCACAGATCTTTAGCGTGAAGCGAAAAAACTACAGAGGCATGTAGAGCACAGCGCGTATTGCTGCTGCTGTTCTCGTTTTGCTGCCGTTTTCAGAGCGTTCGAACTTTCTTCAGCAGTTACAATGCGTTAAGTTAAAAGACATTGATCGTCGTACCTATAGCAATAACTGGCAAATAGCCTGTGAAATACGTTCTGCGCCCTTACATAGCAGGTAAATATTTTTGCAACTGACATGGTGCCTAAGCTTTATCATCGTTGAGCAGATCTTTTCTAGCTGAGATATTCGTGCGTTCGTACCCCCCTCCCCTTTTTTTTTGTTTTTGCGTGGTTTTTTGGCTAGCGTGATTGAGTTGTTTGTGTCCGTGCAAACTCGAGAATGTTGTTCTCTCATATTAGCTTTGCACTCGAGCCCTCAAACAGTGACCGTGTTTGCAGCTGATCCTCCGTCGATAATCTGATATTCTTCCGGCACAATCGTATGTGACAGTGCGACCGTCTGATAGTTTATCCGATAATATATCGGAAGCGCCGCTTTTCCCATTATCAAATACTGGCGGACTAAATTAGTGCTACAGCTGTGCCGATTAGATTAAAACATCGAGGAATCCGCAGCTTATGCTAGTGTACTACATTGATTCATCACTGTTATCATTCATCTAGCGAAGTCCATTCAGCGGAACGACGTATTACCCGCCGTGGAGATTCACAAGGCAATCGTGTGAACTTGGCAAGCTTGAATACGTGGGTTTGGTTACTGGTAACTCTGTCTTCGTATTTTGATCATGGTTAACTGCAAGAACAGCCATGTACTTAGATTCACCTGCACAGTAAGTAACTTTGGCCTATCAAAACTTCAATGCAGTGAGCTTCATAAGCACACTGTGATCAGCATGGTTAACGAATGTAGGAATCGCGCGAGAGCCAAAGCAGTGCAGTTTCTTGCATTGTGAAATGCCTCCTGTCCTCGCATTTAAAAAAATATGCTACATGCAAGACACTCTAAAAAGAATTCATGAATATGATTGCAGACATCCAACCATGCGCTTCCAATTTTTTTTTTCTTGGTACGGTGACTTTCCCCATATTTCTCACTTATGTACACAACTTGTCAGAAGTGTCTTGAGTATGATTGCAGCATATTCTGAATGCCATAACTCTCTTGAGACCATTTGCTCTTGAAGATAATGTTTAAATGCACGTCAATACATGTGATAGCCAATTGGGGTATATGCATTTAAGCTCAAAGCCTGGCGAGACAAAGTCGCTGCTGTGCGCCTTTTCAACAATGGCTTCCTGGGTGCCGCCCTAATCTGCTCAAAGCTGTTGTAAATATTTGTGACACACGTCTCCCGAAAATGAACCGCATTGGCCTTTGCGCTCACTTGCAGCAGACCAGAAAAGAGGTGCTCCCTGACTCTCTTATGGAAAGGTCTGTAGCAGCCAGTATGACGGGATGTTTTATATGGTCTTCTTAACCATGGAAAACTCGTGAATGATATTGTTGTGCCAGTGAATAATAAACAGTGTTCACATGCAGAATAACTTTGCATCTGTTTATTTTTAAAATTTCACTATGTGTATATTTTAGTGTGGCCCTGAAACAACTTTATCAAATGCGCACTTATGCACTTATTGTTGAGATCAAAAATGTGCTTTCGAGACGTACGTCGAGTTAACTATGGTCGTTGATATGCTAGATGGCAGTGCTTTGAAGCACACTTTAGGGTGTTGAGATAGGAAGAAACTTTGTAGTACTCTGTAAACTGCAATCAGTGTACCATGCTTTAAGTGTATTCCCCCCCCCCCCTCACACGCACACTTTCAAGTAAAAGGGGCGACTCAAGGCCCAATCCAAACTTATTGATTAAACAGTCAGGCATCTAAGGTGTTATATAGTACGGTCTGTTGCTAAAGGGAACACTTCAATGTGCGTCTTTCGTGTTACTAGAGGTGCAGCTGCAAAGAGCTGTGGAAACAGCATTCATATACTGCTCAGATGTGTCCAGAAGTTCTGACCCAAAATTGTCTGTTGCCAGTCTGCAGCTTTTGTAGAGTGAAAATTGCAGACATGCTTCGTGCACAAGCAGTTCCCTTAGTGGTCGTTTTAGGACCTCTGTACTTGCGTTGTGATTCCGAGTGTGTAGAATCTGTGTGCCTGCACAAATTTCTAAATTGTCGTAATCGAAAGATTCAAAGAAAACTGCCTGAATGTGCCCTTTGTCTCCCCCTCATCTGAAACAGTGTACAAAGCAAGAAAGAAAATGATGCATAGCAGCAATAGACATTGTAAGAAAATTCTTTGCACGAAGCAGGATTTGTGTTGATCTAAGGTCATTGTTCGTTTTTGCACTTTTTTCAGGCACGTGTGCCCCAATTTCGTATCCGATCTCACAGTTGGCTTGCTGGGCCAATAACAGTTGACCAATGGCTTTTGAGGTAAGTCAAACATAGGCAAAATGAACCATTTATTGTGAAAGATATTAAAGCGTAGGCTGCGCATGTAGAGCAGACACCCACCGTTGTGGCTTATGGTAAATTTTATTTGGAGAACAGGAGCAGAGGCTCCATACAGTGAGTAGTGTGTGAGGTCAGTGCTGCTTGGTCCACCACTAGAATGCTGCCCGTATCCAGACACTACACTACGGACAGATTTTCTTGGCAATGAGGCGAACGACTAGAGTCATATTGCAAATGTCGTACTACTAATGAATGTCGTCCCATAGTTGTGCCTCTATTTTCTGCATGCCCCCGCCGCGGTGGTCTAGTGGCTAAGGTACTCGGCTGCTGACCCGCAGGGCGCGGGTTCGAATCCCGGCTGCGGCGGCTGCATTTCCGATGGAGGCGGAAATGTTGTAGGCCCGTGTGCTCAGATTTGGGTGCACGTTAAAGAACCCCACGTGGTCTAAATTTCCGGAGCCCTCCACTACGGCGTCTCTCATAATCATATAGTGGTTTTGGGACGTTAAACCCCACATATCAATCAATCAATCATCTATTTTCTGCATGAAGTATAAAGAGTAATCCTTTGTTTTCTACGTGTAGTTCTTTGAAATAGGACGCAGCTCACAATGGAGACATGTTTGACTTCACGTGATGTTACTGTATTTTTGCACGCATGAAGAAGGTGCACGGTTTACATGTGCCTTCAATGCGCAGCAGCGTCTGCATCGATACGAAACACCGAATATGGCAGCCATCACTTTTCGTGACAGTACGAAACTCTTGCCATAGCGTACAACTTCGCTGTGCAGATGCTCCACCCCCGCAGTTTTCCCTTCATTGCCGAGAAAAATTGTCTCTGAGCATAGGTAAGAGAGTCAGAAACGAGGAAAAATGTAATCTGGGTCTGATGTAGTGCATTTTTTGTGGTGAAGTGGCAATATTCTGGGCATGGACAAATATTTGTGCGCCTTAAATGTTCAGACAAGTGCTACGGTATTCAAATGTGCTTCTACACCAAGTTAAATTATTCAGAATATTTTTAAGGAGTTGAGTTGAAGGAAGGGAATTACTGAATTTTCTTGATGTTGACGCAACCACTTTTGTAATGTGAGGGGTGACATTTCATTGCATGCAGGATGAAAAAAATTTATATATATATATATATATATAGTTCACTTGTAGTGTGAGCCAGCAAAAATCTTGGGGGAAAATATTTGCTTTACATTCAAGTGAATACAGTACGTTTCACTGCAGTTTTTTTAATCGTGGTATTTTTGGGTGATTAAAAGCACTCCTCATATTCCTTTGTTGAAAAAGCGAGTAGTTTATTTCAAATAAAATGTTGCAAATTTTCAGGGCTCTACTGAAAATAGTTGCCTTACTATTAAAAAAACTTTTTGCAGCAGTACTCGAGATGTATTCACATTCAATCAGGCTTCATAGCAGTTTTGATTTCTGTCCGATTTGTTCCGAAAATTCAACATTTGCACACCCCCTCAAAAAATAAAGTATATATTTCTTGATCTCCTTTAAGCCTCAAAAGTCAGATCAGCTGCTGTGCAAAAAGGCTATACAATCTATGTTGAACCTTTCATGCTGGTGAGCACCTTGTAACAAACATCATTCCTTATGAATATCTGATTTCCAAAAGGTGCTATCATTGTCCCAAAGGTGCGTGATGCTAGATGAAAAAAAAAAAATGATAATAGTAAATTTGCCTATACGAGTCTAGGAATTCCAGAGCACTGAGGAGTTTACCGGTGTGTACAGCTCCAGTTTTCTCTTTGCGTTGGTAGACCGTTCTCCACCTTTCTCTTGAGAAAGTTCTGTTGTGAAGTTCTATGATCTGTTTATACCCCTCTTTCTCTTTAACGGATATAGCTGGAGGTGTGTGTGGACTCTGTGGCGTCGGCACTAACCGCTGCCGAGTCTGGGGCTACGCGACTAGAGGTGTGTGCTGGCCTGGCTGTCGGAGGGCTCACTCCTAGCTTTGGTAAGCTGTGTGTGCAGGTCCTCATATGTCTGCCTGGGGGTTCCAGCTAACCTTGTGCCAAGTCTTGAAGGCAACAATAAAGAGAAATTACAGGCAGTGAGGCCAAGAAAAGTATAGCGGGACCTTATTAGAGGCAATTTTAATGTTGAAGCGAAGAAAGTCTGCAGGTTCGGTCCCGGTCGGCGGCAACTCAGTCTTATGGTCCACTTTTGTGTTCCCGAATTCAGATTACAGTTATTTCTAATAGCATTCTTTATGCTCTCAGTTGGCATCGTTGTCTGTTCTCTCTAACATTGTGTGTAACTGAGAAAACAAGACATTCTTGGAAATATTTCGGCATGCACACAATGATGAGAAAACGAAAGGCAAGAAGACAAAGAGGTGTTCTTGCCTTTCGCTTTGTCGTCCACTGTGTGGGTGCCAGAATCTTTCTAAGAATGTCATCAGACCAACTCGCCCAACTTTTCATACTATTACATCAGAGAAAACGAGCTCTTAAATTTACACTTCTTTGCTTCAAGTTTTGAAAGCATCCGCATGTTACCCCTTGCACACTTTCCTGGTGTCCTTAATCTGCTGCACCCATTAACCCATTATTATTATTATCATTATTATTGTTGTTGCTGTAGCTGAGAAGGAGCTCTTTTGCTTCCTAACAACCATGGCAACGAACAGCTTTTGTCACCTATTTGGGATGCTTGCATTGTATTAATCTTCGGAGTTGGTACCCTTTAGGAGTGTAAGGAGGCACCACTGCCAGTGTGTTAGTCACTGCAGAGGTTCGATATGGCTACCGGAAGCAGTGTGTCAGAACAGAATAAAAAAAATTAATAAGGATACTATAGACTGAAAATGTAATGGAAGCAATATCTATTATTTCAGTCCAGGGTGAAACCGAATTATTCTTTTTTTTTAATCAGTTTTCAGTTCACTAGCAAAGGTTCTTATAGTACGAAACAACCGAGACATTTATACATATCTTAAGGGACAGTGTTAGTGCATGTCTCTGGTAAGGGTTCGTTTGCTCCAAATCAAAAGTTCGCTCAAATTTCACGAAATATGAAATAGAAGCAACGTGGGGAAGCTGTTTATGTAATGCAAGTATACTCTTGTGTAATGACACAGGCTACTGTATAGAGGGCAGTCTCAGTGCTGCAGTTTCTTTTATCAGGACAATATTTTCACATATCAGGGTTGGCACTCAATGAAGTGCTGCGTCTCGGATCATGCTCACTCCCTTGATGCAAGGCATTCATCCTGTTCATTGGATTTGCAATTCACTGACGAGAACACTAACACTGTTTTGTTATTGCTGTTTTGATTTTGTTCGTGTATGCAAATAAACATTACGAATTGTTGAACTTCTTTTGTCATTCTGAGGTGGAATGGAACTTCTTTTATAAGGAACAAAACTAACACCAAAACAAAAAAAAACATTTCATTCTGACAATCTTATAGGAGGCATGGCAGCTTGAATAAAAGGAAAACGCAATGTCTACAAACAAAACTCAACATTAATGCTTTTTAACTAAAGCTGCACGGACCCTTGCATGGTTAATAATTCATTTCACATTTCAGTCAGCAACTGTAGGCACAAATGACTTTTCACGTTGGGCCTCTGCAAATCACGCAGGTTTGTTCCAGACCATCCGACAGCGAGTGCCCTTGCCGATCATGGTGCTGGTGCGGCCAAGGGCTGGCGACTTCTGCTACACGGACGAGGAAGTCGAGGCCATGGTGACTGACATCGCCCTCTTCCGCCAGAATGGAGCACACGGCTTTGTCATCGGGGCACTCACCAGGTGACCACTTCCTTTTCATCTGCCTGACCATTGTAGTGACATTAAAGGAGCCCTGCAAAGCTTTTCGAGCACGGTCAAAAACCTGCCGATCAGTAGTCGAGGCTCTAGGGAACACGCGAGCCGAGTATTGTAGTGCAGCACGCGGCCTGAAATTCACAATAAGCTGTCAAAGTCAGTCAAAGGTCGCTTCCTATTCTCTCGACGAATGATGCTGCAGGCTCACTAATCGCTGCGTCACAGGCTGAGTATCAGCCATTGGCCAATTTGAGCATAGCGCGCTCGGTCGTTAGTGCAGCTGCTATGAAAGGCTGCAACTTGTCCACGTGTGTGCGTGCGGTTGCACTGAAAAGCTGCACATTCAAAGAAGAAAAAAAAAGTAGAGGAAAAAATGCTCCAGGTCATAATGCACATGGGACTTATTTTCTTCCCTTGTGCCAACCATCCCTGCTGAGCTTCTAGCGCTTTTGTCGAGATGAGAGAACAGAGAATTTGATTGCAGCGTGCGGCAGACTTTTGTAACTCTGCTCGTACTGGACAATTTTAGAAATTTTTCGCGGCGGTAAATTCGTGAGGCAATAAGCTTCTTTAGTGAATTCATTTCATGGCTACTTAAAAAGGGTTGCAGGACCCCTTATAAGGAGCACTAAAGAGAACATTGATGTTTCTCTTCAGTGCCCCGTTAGGCAGATCAATTCAACAACTTCTTTGAAATGACCCTGCAGTTATGATCAAGGATTGTGGCAAATTTAGTTTCGCTCGGTTTCAGTTGCCAGTGTCACTCCGATGTACTTGCCTACTGTCTCTTTTAAGCTGTTGTTACCCTTTCCATCACCCTTGTATTGCTGTAAAATGCCTTAAACGTGACAATTTCCCTAGTCTGCACGCCAACATTGGCTTCGAAATTTCTTTGTTTGAGACGCAGGTTATGCATGAGCAAATACAGTGTGTATGTCTCAATATGGCGTAGCTCGTGACGGAGATGATAGGATGCAAGTACTGTTCATATGATCAAACAATAATTTTTTTTTTCTAGGGAAGGCGATGTCGACATGCGCACATGCCAGCGGCTGCTTGGTAAGCGCAAGCGTTGCTACCTTGAATTTTTTTTTTATATTTAAGTATTGGTGCTTTTTCTTACACTTTCGCTAGAATAGTCAATCCTTCAGAACAAGACCATGATTGCTGACAACAACTAAAGCAGTTACTGGCAATAATCCACAGCTTTCTCTGACGTTGCTGTAGCCCCAACAAACAATAAACATTGCTAGCCAAGGCAGTATGCTGCCTCAAGTCAGATTGATAAAAATTTCTGATAATTCAAACAAAATCCTGGAATCCCTTCTAGTTTGAATTACACTCAAACCTCGATATAATGAACCCACATATAACGAAATAATGGCAATAGCGAAGTAAACGAAAAATAGCCTTGTAATATACATAGTGTTAGAATATACCTCCATAACGAATGGCCGGGTATTATTGTGTAAGATGCAATTATAAAAAGGTTTGAGTGTATCTTGAGCCTACTGGACCTAGTGATTTGTTGTTTTTATGCTGTCTTCTTTGCGTCTTGTGTGGTCGTTGATTTCGTTTGTCCACTTTAAACTATACTGTAAAAATTCTGTCAGTATGAATGGATGGTAAGTTGTAATTCCAAATTGCCATTTTCACAGTTGCTGCTGGTCCCCAGGCGGATACAACCTTCCACAGAGGTGAGTATCAGCTCTATCGGCTGAGGGACGCCTCACCATGAAAGGCTTGCTCGGCACGTTTGTTTTGGTAACGTGAATGCACTGGAATGAGTGGCCATTTTTCGTAGGGGCCTAATATAAGAGATTTAAAGAGTACAACATTCGTTTTCTCTAATCGTAGTCCGCACGTTTCCTTTCTTTTGGGGCACCACCCATGGCAATGCCCTACCTAATGCTCCCACTTTATCGGTACTAATCGTTTGAAGTTTGCATCTAAGGTCTACTATAAGCATGCTACAAGCATGCATAAATCTTGTACTTAAAAAGAATTGACCAATTACTGTGTATACTCCTCTGGGCTGTTGAGTACGGCTCACAATAGAGGACATGTTGAATGCTCCGACCTTTTTTTTTTTTTCTTTTGTCAGTGTGTGGGCTTCTTGTCTGTAACTCGCGGGACGTTTTTCTGTCGTGCTTTATTGAAGCGCGTTATCTCAAAAACTGTAGACACTGGTAAATAGCCGAGTAAGTGTGACTGCCACGTTTGCCTGTATGTTACAGTCTGACATCTTTTACACTAAAGGGCTTTTGAACCACTGAGGTCAAAATTTATTTGTTCGCGAGTCTGCGATGAACATGTGGCCGTGGCAATGTTTCGAAATGGTGCCATAACTGCGGAGTTGCTCGCGTTTGGTTGTTGAAAGGCATCCCTTTCTTGTTTTGGTCTTTCCTATGCTATGTGCCGATTGTTGGCCCTTCTCTAGAGTGTTCTTTGTTGTGTGAGGAGGGCAAGCGGGTAGTGGACTTACCTGAAAGCAGATTAACGTGTTTTTTCTCCCACTGAAATGACCTGATTCCCTGGTAATGTCACGACCGATGCTGGTATCACTGAAAGGTCCAGAGAGGAGCATAGGATTAGCTTCATTTTGTGGCACACCCACTATATATAGAGTTGCTGCATTTCGCACTGTTGATCGTGACTGTGTTCTGAACTCGATGATAGGTATGGTTACTCAAAGATGATTGTGAACAGGCTATGGAAGTGGAAACATGGTTTTTTGAAAGCTTTTATTTGGTTGCTGCAGTTTGCTTCCTTCTTCACGTTTCGTCCCGTCTAAATGGGTTTTCGTCGGAATTTTCTATTCAAACTCACTCAAAATTGTAAAAGCAATATTATTGGAGGTGGTTTCGGGCCTTTCAGTGTATAGCGTGACCTAGCTTGTACAACCAGCTGTTCCTCAGCCACAGACTGACTGTTGTTGCTCACCTGTGCAGCATTCGACGTGGCTAGGAATCCCCAGACAGCCCTGGAGCAGGTGATCGAGCTCGGGTTTCGGCGTCTGCTCACCAGCGGCCAAGCTGCAAGTGTGGAGCATGGCTTGGAGCTGCTTGCTAGACTCGCCAGCCAGGTGTGTGCATATCAGCAGATACTGCCGTGTTTGCTCGCAAAATGAATGCACTTGCATAATAAATGCACCCCCTACTTAAGCTGCCAAAATCTGGACTTCTTTTTTCTCTTTTGCCTGATAAATTCATCCCCCACATTCATTCGCTGCAGTCTCGCTAACCGACATCTGGCGCCTCTTTGCCTTTTGGGTCTCTTTCGCTTTTTATCACCGTATTTACTCGATTGTAACGCGCACCCGGTTTCCACGACGAAAAAAAAAAGTAAGACATCTATTGCAACGCGTACCCATTTTTCTCGTTGGCCCGCACACTCACACCACTCGGGAAAACAACTCCTTTCGGGAGCATCTTCCGTTTAAATATGAGGTACGGGGGAAGCTCGGGCTTATCTGACGTGCTACGGAGCATTGCCGTCACTCTAGTTTTACCGTGGCCCGATGTCAGCACGCGAACTTGCTTCGCCCCCTTCTTATCGACGGTTGTGGTGCCAGGCATGTCGAAGTAAAGAGGCGTCTGATCAGCATTCCCGATTTGCCCAAGCAGGTAGCCGTTGTTGTGCCGCAAGTTTAGGACGAACCTCTGAAAACAGTGAAGCTTTTCTTCGCACTCCTCCGGCAACTTTTGGCATATGCCCGTTCGCCTTCGGAGGGAAAAGCCTTTCCTCTTCATAAAGTTAGTTAGCCAGCACCTGCTCGCTTTAAACTGGCTTTGCATTAGCCCTTTTCTAAGGCTAACTGCATTGCCCGCACTTGGAGCAGTTCTGTCGTCACGGGTCACTGTGCCGCTCGCTGCTCAAGCACATACTCACCGAGCAGCTTTTCAATTTGCAGAAACCGACCCTGCTGTGGTCCACTGAAGCCTTTGCGTGAATCTTTGCTGTCGACAATATTCTGCTTTTGTTTCCGCCAGTCCCGCACGCACATTTCGGGAACTTCGAACGACCGCGATGCGGCCCGATTTCCGTCCGTTTCGGCACACGCAATGACTTTTCTTTTAAATGCGGCATCGTGGTGCACTCGTCCAGTTTTTGGAGTCGGCCCTTCCATGCTGTCGATGCTAATGCACTACAAGATGACGAACTCCTCAGCACACGTACGAAGCGCCACACATGGGAAACACATAGGCAAAAATGGGCGAGGCGCCATGTCGACGCACACAGAGGATGCCGATGCACGTAGGGGGCGGCCATTTTCGAAATGCCCATGGCAATAGAATGACAGTATTCATTTTTTTTTCGTACTCGATTCTAACGCGCATGGGATTTATGAACTCGCTTAACCGGAAAAAAGGTGTGTGTTAGATTCGAGTAATTACGGTATTATGCTGACCCCCCTTCGCCTGCTGCCGCATGCCGTATTGTTCTCTTTGAGCGCGGCACGTCTCCTATCTTTCTTTAGTACCCGTGCACCATAGCGGGGTTTACAAATGGTGCGAGCGTAGAGACATGGCAGCTGATGAGCACACAGGTAGCAGAGATCACGAAACCGTCCGCGCCATCCGACAGTCGCTTCTTGCAAATACAAAACATTAAGGCACACCCGCTCGTCTACATACATGCCTATGAATTTTGAGCGACGACATTGACTTGGTTAGCTGTCACCATGGCTGTCGCTAAGGGTTCTGGAAGAGCAGAAAAAATCACTCGTCGCCCAGAAAAGATCGTGACGATTTCCGCTACGTGGTAGCGCCCCTGGCTCTTCACGCTTGTTATCCTTGGCGTACTCGAAAAACGCAAGATATAGGCTACCTTATCTACAGTAACTTCTCATGTGAACAATGTGACAGCAGCCGTAATTTGTTGTTAATCTTGTCATCGACAGTTTATTTTGGATGCGTGGGTGGTAGCTTGGCGCAATGGCAACAGCGTCTTCACGTTCACCGTGTGAGGTTGCCACAAAATCGGCAAAGTGCAAGTTTTTTGGTGTTGTGCCAAGCTAGAGGTCAAAATGAACATCCCTGCTTGCCAACGTTCTTGCAATTAAACAGCATGCTATCCATTTACAGTATCGTAAAGCCACCCAAGTACAGGAATTGCCAGTTTCTTCCTAGTGAAGAGCGACGACTCCTTAGCTTGCGTGATTTAACATCAGCTTTCAAAGAGGATCTGGCCAGCCAGTTATGCTTGGATTAGCTTGAGAACAGGCTTGACGCATTGGTGCAAGATGAGATTAAGTGCGACGATGTATTTAACTCAATGCCTGCATGAGACAGTGTTACCGACTGCATAATTTATTATGTACAGTTAAACCTTGTTATAACGAAATTGGAGGGCCACCGCTATTTGCTCGTTATAACCAATGTTTCGTAATAGCCGTAGCGGGCATTTACTGCAAATGTTATGCACTGTACTTACCCAAAAAAAGTAGCGGGCGAAATAGCATCCCGCCGCACGGTGGTATGCAACAAAATAACCGCATTCTCAAATAAAAAGCAAAAAGTCATGCACCTGTTTTATTGCACTTCAAAATACACAGCTTGCATTTCAGGCAGACTTAGCTGCAAAGAAGTCCGTAATTGGACGTTGATGCATCTTCCTGATGCGAACGATGGCTCGCTCAGCTGCGGCTGCAATGTTCAAGCCATCTTCGCCGCCCTCGTGAGCGCCGAAGTAGCGGCGCAGTACGTCCACCGCGTCTAATGCCTCCGACGCCGTCGGCACGTTTGTCTCCTGTTCGTCGACAGAGTCATCGTCACTGGTTTCGTTACGATCACTGACAGGGTGCACAATATCGTCATCCAGGAGCTGCTCCGTTGCCACCACTTCCGAGTCCCGCACTCACATAGTCGCAAAATGACTCGCTGTCAGGCACGACACCGGCGTCACCAAGTGCCGTCCATGATGCAGCGACTTCATCTCATGTGGCAAAACTGTCCGCACAGTGGACTCGTCTGATGGCTCATCGCTGGCGTCTGGTGCGGCGGCAAGTGAGGCGTGTCGAAAGCAGTTTGCGATCGTGGTCGCCGTCACACTCATCCACGCCACCTGAAGCATTTCGAGCACAGAGTACAAGTCAACATCGGTGTCCCGCTTTATCCTCATGTTGAGCAGGAGCTTGTCTATCACACGCTTGCGGTAACCTGCCTTCAGCGACATAATCACGCCTTGGTCAAGCGGCTGTATTTTCGCTGTGCAGTTGGCAGGAAGGAACAGCAGCTCTATGTTTTGAAGCACGGAAGCGGTATGGTGGGCGGTGCAGTTATCTAAAACAAGGCACACCTTGCGGTTCGTCTTTGCCAGCTTCTCGTCCCATTCGCAAAGCCATTTTGAAAAAATCTCCCTGGTCATCCAGGCTTTGCGATTGGCTACGTACTTGACTGGGAGCTGCCTCTTCCCCTTAAAGCAGCAAGGGGATGCACTTTTGCCAATTACGAAAATTGGCGGCTTTTCAAAGCCGGTCATGTTTGCACAAAGTAGCGCAGTGATCCGCAGGTTACTTTGTTTACCGCCATGGCACGGCTCGCCTTTGAGGCCTAACGTCTTGTGCAGCAACATCTTGAAAAAGAGAGCGGTTTCGTCCGCGTTAAAAATATCCTCCACACTGTATTTTTCTAGCAGCCGCACGATGTTTTCTTTCGCCCACTTGGTAACCTCTGCTTCGTCGACAGATTGCGATTCGCCGCAGACCGCTCTCCCGACAATGTCGTGGCGCTCCTTGAAGCGTTGGAGCCAACCCGAACTTGCTACAAAGTTGTCATAGCCCATGATGCAGGCAAAGTCTCTCGCTTTTCTTTGCAGCAAGGCGCCGCTCACCGGCAGATTCACGGCCCGCGTGTCCAAGAACCATTTAAAAACGGCCCTTTCGACCGCTTCAAAGGCAGGTGCCCTCATCCTCTTAGCGCTTCCTTTCACGCCACGTGCAACAGCATCGATGATGGACTCCTGTTTGCTCAAGATGGTTGACAGTGTGCTCGTCGATACGCCAAAGTCTCTTGCCACGTTGCCTTTCTTGGTCCCCAATTCGACGGCTGTTATCATACCCGCCTTCTGATCTAGCGTTATACGCTTTCGCTTCCCGCCTGGCGCATTCATGTTGCTGGAATCACGAGCGCAGCACGATAAAAGATAAGCCGGAAGCGGTCGAAAAAGAGAAAAAACACGCACGCAAAAGCACCGCGGCTCACGTCGGCGAGTGACAACACTTGCAAAGAAAGTGACTGTGAAGAGGAAGGGGCAGAAGGGGGCGCTCTTTTGCGCTGCCCTCTAGGAACCGGTTACTCAAGGGGAAGGGGGTATATAAGATTAGAAGGTGCGCCTCAGCGCCATGAGAAAGGGGAGAGGGAGAATATAAAGAAGACACAAAAGAAAAGAAAAGGGCGAGACGTTCGCGGAGCTGCAGAGCGCTCCGCTGTCGGTGGTAGCCAAGCGGCGCACGTGCAGCGACCTCTCCTCCGGAAACAACGCGTGCCATCTGCTTTGCGCACGTTGCTGGAGGGCGCGTGGCAGGAGTTTTGAACTGCTAAATACAGTTCTCGCGTTGCGCCCCGTCTCAAATTCGCGTTGTGCACTGTCGTGACATCGGCTCAAAATTTTACTTCCTAACAAAATTTGTTCGTTATATCCCATAACAGGCAAATTTTGCCTCGTTAAAATGAGGTTTTGAATACATTGGCTTGTATGGGGACTTTCAAGGGGAATCAGGATTTGCTCGTTATATCCATTATTTCGTTATAGCCCGTTTTGTTATAACGAGGTTTAACTGTACAGGGGTTTCTTTGCCGAAAAATCCTAAAATATACAAATGTTTCTAAATGCAAGCTTGGACTAACTGGGACATCTGTTATGTCAAGGGCTGCATCAGCTCTTGCAGTTTTGAAGACAAGAGGAGGACTTACGCACCCTAATGCCGTGCTATTTGATCTTTTGAAAGAAGCTGAGCGAAAACTTCAAAAGCACGCAAGCAATGAGGAAGTGTATGATTTGACTATTGGCTTTGTGTTAGATAACTACAACCTCTCATTTCTATGTAAGTAACATACAGTACACATGACGGTCCAAATGCTCCACTATTATGTAGGAGTGTGTATGCACCAATATTGCAAACAAATGAAAAATTATGAGGCGGACAAGCCTCAAAAGTTGTGCAATCAAGTTTTGGAAACTAATCTAGTAACTTGCTACCTCGAAGTCAAAATGCATAGCTCTCGTTTTTCACACGTGTCTTCAATACTGCTTTGCTTTTGTGTTGACGTGCTGTCCTATTCTGTTTGTGGCTGTTTAGATATGAACGCGTCTTTACGTCGCTGTAATAAAATGTGCCGTTTTTGAGTTAAGAGTTGCGCCTTTGCTTTGAAAAATTGCTATGGACCTGCATGTGCTGTTCTCCTTTCTGCGAGCGAGAACCATGCTTGTTAACAATTAAAATATCTGCGGTTTTATGCCCTGAAACCACGGTAAGATTACGAGGCACGTCGTTGTGAAAGGCTCCGAAATTTTCGACAATGTGGTGTGTAACGTGCACTGGCATCGCAGAATGGTGTTTCCTCTGTCTCGTCTGTCGTTTTCTCGTGCTGTTTTTTTTTTTCTACTTTAAATATGTACCAAGAAGCTCAAGTTCACACTCTTCTCATCGCACGGCACTTGGGCCTCCCTTATCAAAATGCGACCGCTGCGACGAAAATTCACATTACGTTTTTTTACTGCAATACTATGACTAACACGTTATTTTTGTATAGGTACTACGTAAACAATAGTTCAACTAAGAACTAACTTTTGTCATAATTACATGGGACTTTACCATCACACGTTTGAATTCATCATCTGGTGTTTCTGAATGTGAAAACTTATGCTCCTATCGCAAACCTTCGATGTGGCAAATTAAAAATTTACCACGACTATCTACGCCGTATCGTGAATATGTAGTAGTTGTTTGCCGTTTTTAGTAATTTATTTACTTTTGCACTCATTATCGAACAAAGGCAGAAGTTTTTTTTTTTTTTCCCCTAAGTTGCTTTCGCAGCCCCAAAGCGACCTGCGCATGAACCACAGTCATTGTGGTGCCATCTCAGGCCCTTTCCACAAAACGAGGACAGAAGTTCTTCGCTTCCGGTGGCGCCGTCGGTCCACCTAAAGTACTTCTAACACCTAATTGAAATATACATGCCTGCATGCATGCTCAGGCAGGCTCATCCTTCAGACTTTACATTTAAACAAAATGACTTTACATTTAAACAAAATGAAAAATTCGATGCAATTTAGCATCGTGTACGTTAATTTGGACTCAAGCCTCACGACTATGTGCTAGTTTGGCAGCAATGTCTGCAGGAATGACACGCTCAATACATTGCCTGCGCCACTTCAAAACTAAAACCATCAAAGTAATCTGCCTATAATAGCCACCAGCTATGCTGACTAGCCAAACTACTATGGTATAAAGTTGTACAGTAGATTTTCGTTTAACGTAACCTAAACGGAAGGAAAATATATTCCATTTAACAGGAGTTCTGTTTACTGAGAGAGGAAGAGAGTTGCAGAGTCCAAGTACAAAATAAATAAAATAAAATTAGTGCAAGTTGTTCTGTTTAACCAGCAGTTCCATTGTAGGGATTTCGGTTTACTGAGAGTTTACTGTATTTGTGACATGCAATCGCAAGAATGGTGTATCATACGTTTTCTGTCTCTCAACGTTACCTACTATTGCATTTTTCATTGTCTGACCCACTGCTGTGGTCTAGTGGTCATGGTGCTCAGCCGCTGAGCTGCCCGTCGCGGAATCCAGTACTGACCGCCGCGACCGCATTTTTCATAAAAGCGAAGTTGCTCGAAGCCTGTGTACGTACTTGGATTTAGGTGTGCAGGTGTTGACATTCCCCGAGCCCTCATGTGCGACGTCTCTCACAATCACATGGTGGTTTTGTGATGTTAAACCTCGCCAGTTACTATTATTACTGCCGTTGTGCATGCCACAACATGTGCAGCTCTTGCACCATGTAAATGAAGCCTGTTGCTCTTTATTTTCTGCCTCCTTTCAGGCCAAGGGCAGGATACAGCTGATGCCAGGTGAGTGCTGTACTCCAGATACTTCAATAGCAGCATAGGCCGGCCCCCTTCACCAGACTAGCATTTTCATACTTATAAATTGCCTAGGCAAATGCGGGCCTTAAGTCGTGGTTGGGATTATGCGACCCACACTCATCGGCTGCCAACCTAGTTTGCTCGTCCAGCCATACTAAGCACAACACTACAGTATACAATCATCGAAGGGACACTAAAGTCAAATAACAATTTATGTCATGGTGAAAGCTACATATATGTATGACGTCTAAAATCACATTATTATTAATATCAGCAGTGCCTCACTTGCCAAGAAATTGATGTAAATGCAAGACAACACATGTACCACGAGTACGACATGCGTCAAAATGATCCTGACGACGTCAGAGTTACCACCTACAATTAATCAGTAGTAATCGAACTAGCTGCACTAATAAAAAGCCTTCCGTGCATCAAGAGACATATATTATAAAAATACTGTTTGTTCGTTTCTGTTTGATTCATGGAAAAAAGGACTTTTGGACGTTACTGTGGGGAATGGCACGAGTTGTTCAAAGGTTCAATTTTCACTCCATTAAACTGGACAGGTCGTGCCATCTAGCCAGGCCCAGTTGAACCAAGCAGGTCTGTAATCTAGGAGGCCATGGCAGGAAATTGTTCAGTGGCCGTTGTTGGTGCTGTGGCTCCTGCTACTTTCATGCTGCTTCTAGTAGTGTCAGCGGCCGTATAGTAAAACCAGGCGACGTGCACGGCAACAATGACGTGAAAGTTTCCACTTGAGGCGGGTAATTTGAAGTGTGCTAACACAATTCAGACCACTAAAACGCGATTTTATTTTGAAACAAGTACTTCCTTGGTGCAAAACTAGCACTGCGAGGTTTCTGGACTGCTATTTCAGCAATCAAGATTCACTTAATATTTGCTTTTAGTGTCCCTTTAAACAAAACTTGAAGTGACCATGAAAACTTGTTCAGATAAAGCGGAGTTTCATCTACTGAGAGATGAACAGGGGTCCAGAATACACTCAAGTCTCATTATAACAATGCTGCATCTTACGCGAAAATAATTTCATTATATTCAAAAATTCATTATATAGGTGTACTTCTAACACTATATCTGTTGAAAGGCTAGCCTTAATTTACTTCGCTATAACCGATATTTTGTTATATCCAGGTTTTTTATATCGAAGTTTGCATGTACAAGAAAGAAACCAATATTGTGAGAAGCACATGGTCCATTTAAGAAGCCGTTCCATTGAAGATTTCTGTTTACTGAAAGTCTAATATCTAACCCCTTTTCAGTCTGTATAAGTATCTAAGCAATGAGCTGTTGCTTCATTTCTGCATGCTGGGGTTTCTTATTGGCTTTGTTTTACACGAACCGATTTCCAATCCTTTCAGAGATTCTACTGGATTATAATCTCTCTCCCGTTGTTCTACTTATATGCCTATTTCTGCCGAATCCGAACAATCGGTCACTGAGTTGTGTACTCGACCATCTGTGTCTGCTGTGCTATCCGCAGGAGGAGGGGTCAGCGAATCCAACCTAGCCCACCTACTTCACGCAACTGGAGTCCGATCTGTTCATGCCTCTGCAAGCGAGCCCGTGCCTGCCGCAACACAGTCTACCCTGTCGTTTGGAGATCAGCGGGTTTGCAGCGCCGCTCGTGTGCGCTCCCTTCTGGCTATCATTTACGCACAGGGCCACCTGTAGACAAGCCGCACAAAGCCGTTGTGACCACCAAAGAGGTCGTCTTTCAAGGCTCGTGCGACGGTCGCAGGCGACCCGTGCGTGATGCTTTCGAACACGGTTTCCTGCAGACTGCAGTCATCGAGCCTGTGTGTAATTGCGGGAAGCTTGTATGGATTTCTCGTGGTTCGTGAGGGCTTTTTATCGAGACTATATTCTAAAATCCCATCTACTGACACATTGCGAAATGGGTTAAGTGTCCTATTTCATTAAATGAGTTGAGATACTGCGACTGTGGCACAAAACTGTCTTAATTTAGATTTGCAGGGTCTGAATGAAATGTCCAAATTATTTTATGGACTAAGGGAAGGGCACAGTCTCACTGCGCCATGATGCCCTTACAGGACGAATTTGTCTTGCTTGTTTGTCTCTTATACTAAACCTGAACAATCACATTCAACCTACAAGTGCTCACATATCAGAAATGCTTGCCTAAAGTGTGCTATCGAAATGCTACCGGAGTCTTGCAATTTTCTTTGCGGCATGACACGTAGAGTTGATCGGCTTCTGATCAAGTATGGCTGCTATCGAAAAGTTGAAAGACAGCTCACAGGTGTGCAGTCATCCTATATTAAAATGAATTCCGCAGTGTATGCTGCATTGTAGGCCTTATGTGGAGTACGAAAAAAAACCACAAAAAATGCCAATCCTGTGTGCAACGTGCAGCACAGTCACAGCAAAAGCTGGAAAAAAGTGATCTCTCAAAGCCTTTTCTAAACACTCTTTGGGTAAATGCTAGAAGTACACTTGCTGGGTACCCACTACACCATAAATAATCATAATTTCTGTGCAGTAGGCCGGCATTCACTATATGTTATCGTTCTTCATTCTTCGGAGAAGCATGGTATCCACTAAATACTTGCAATGAATTTTGTGTTGCATTCAGAGGCTGACGACGATGAATTACGGCTGAAGTGGGTATGTGCCAGAGCTGATAGGTGATGAAGAACAAGATCTTGTAATGGGTTGGATCACTGGACGACCACTCTTTACGCAATTCGCATTGTGTGACACATGGTTGTTGATTTGCTGTTCTTAGAACGCTTTATTACTCATATCAACCTGATTCCTTTCTTTGACATCGAGCCTGCCTAAGGCAAGTTTGCAAAGGACTCTCAAGCACAGGCATGGCTCAGCGGTAGAATTCTGGGCTGGCACGCAGTGGACCCGGGTTCGAATCCCACTAAGTCCTTGGTGCTTTAAAAGAATTTTTTTCTTATTTCGTGCAATAGTGGTTATGGACACCGGCAGCGGCAAACAACTACAGCGCTGCACGTGACCTGTGTTCTGATCTCATAGCAGCTTTGCTGTAAAAACTTGTCGCCCGTGGCTGCATTGATGGTGACTCTTGAGACCCACAGCCACGCGGGCAAAACAGGATGGCACAGAGTGCGAAAGGCATGCTAGAAAAGAACCACAAAGCATACTCACAAAGGTTCGCAGAGCTCCTTTACCAAGTGTGATGGCAAATATTTCACTCACTGTCTTATCGGAAGTGGGAGTACCGATTTCGGTCTAGCGCAGTTCCTCAACACTCGTCTTGCGAATGTATTATTTTTTTCATTCCCAAGACGTAAAATGAAAATCGGAGCATTTTATGTGCACTGATGTAATCAGTGTTTGCCTGGACCAGATGGAAAATCAATGTTATTGAATTCTTACAACATTGTTTGGTTCTGCAGTTTTTATTAATTTGTTTACATTGTAATGTTTCTTTGCACCTATCAAATGCAGTGACATCTCAGCCAAACAGTATTTGGCCTTATATATATATATATATATATATATATATATATATATATATATATATATATATATATATATACACACACACATATAGTAGTAGTGGACAAGAGCGCTCCGTTTTGAACAGTGATCAGAAAAAAAAATTTTTTTTGACCGAGTAAAACGCAGTGCTGATGTTCCTCTGCAGCGCATAACTGGTGAGTGCTGTCATGAGTGAATGCAACTTGCCATCTTTGTGAACCCAAATTTAATGCCTATCATTAAATTAATTAATGCCCGAGCATAAAAACTCGTACAACATAGTCTCCCACATTACACCATTCCACATACCTCGCATCTTGCCAGAAAATAAGTTTTTATACCGGAAAATTCCTTATGAAGGTTATTCCTAACACTGTATCTATTGCAAGACTATTCTTTATCTACTTCATTATAACTGATAACTCATTATATCTGTGTTTGTTATGTCGAGGTTTGAGTGTAGTTTCGATTGAGGAAATGTCTGGTCAATTTTAAGCTTGTAACTAAATAGTGTTGGTCTTGTTACCAGCATTTGTTATTTTTGTTGCGCTAATTGAAGACATTTAAATGCCATGTTGCAGAGCCAAGAAGGATTCACAAGCATAGAATGGCAGTTTGCACATGATTCTGTGGTAGCTGCAGCTCTATTGTTTAACGATGCATGCCATAACGAGCTACCAAGCAAGTGTGCCGGTCGGCAATGTATTGGATGACGATCCTTTAACGGTATATCAATGTGCGAAAGCTGGGATCTAGCAAACCAGGTGGCAGCATCGGCCACATGCAGTGGTACCACTGTAAGCTGTCGACTGCCCTCACGTTTCGTTTCAGGTACCCCCGTCCATCCAATTTGGCTGTGCTACTTACCAGCTGATCGCTTGTAGTCAACCGAGCTGGAAACGCGTGCTCAAATTTCGTTGTTTCGTGCCAAATTGTACAGTGTCAGTATTTAGTGTGCAGCATGTTATGTCGATTATGTGTTCATCTAGAATGCTTTTGTGTTATCGTGGCAAGGGGCAGTTTTTCGTAATCATGTACTGCTTCACCGGAGAAAGGCAAAAGCGTGGCAGTGAGAATTGAGTTCTGAAAGTGCAATTCACGGAGGAGAATACGAAACTAGGACTGCTGTCATGGAGCGATGTCTTTTCCAATGCTATCTCTGATGCTTTTCACACTTGCTCCTTGGCCAGACTGACCATCAGTGTGACCAGTGAGCAAGCACAAAAAGCATCTGCCCATCACTTTCGCCAATGAGCAAGTGCAAAAAACATAGCATTGCAAAGGCGTGGCTCAACAATATTTATCCTAGGTGGCAGAATTGTTCAAGACTCGCTAAACCGAACAAATCAGCCCAATTAATGATCACACCAGAGCCCTGGCGAGTTTTTTTATTGCTGTGGCTCTGCAGGCAGACCTAGGGCAGAGCAGCTAAACAATCTCGGCTAGTACACTGAAACTTTGAGATACAGTTGTACCCTATATAAGAGACATGCACCAGGGAGGAATATTTGTTCTATATTTGGTAGCTTATATGCGCTTATTTCAATTTAGGCCCACTGGTGTGTGTCTCTAATACCCATTGGTTTCTTACATCAAAGTTCCTTGTAAAGGTGCATTGGTCCAAGACTGCAAGGAAAAAGTGACAGGGGCAGCTTTACGATGAGCTTGCCGGTCATATTAATGCATCTTCCTTGTTCATTTACGACCTCCATTGCCAAATAATACCATCTCAAGGCAAACCTATCATTTCTGCTAGCAAGTAGGCGAGACGTGGGCGCATTATTTTTTTATTCTACTTGCTGAGGTTTTGTCGATGTCACTCATAACTGTCTGTTATGTTGTTTGTGTGTATACGTGTGATGTACCTGGTATTTTGGAAAACTACTACTATACTACCTGGTTGTTCCAGTGGTCTTATTGGTTGTAAAACCTGCAGTGTTGCAAGGAAAAGGTTATCCTTGTCACCTGAAAGACTAGGGGAGCACATATGTGTTTAGCAGAGTTAAAAAAAAAAAACATGGACGAATGGAGAAAAGAACACCAATGCGTTTTTTTTCTTACGCATTACAGTATTCCCCTGGGGCTTTTTAAGAGGTTGTACTATAGAGTATGATGAACTGGTTAACTTGCCAAAGTATACCAGCAGTGTATGTATTCAATAAAGTTTTGCTCGCCTTGCAATTTTGCAGATCGAGTTTGACTTTTGTTTCTTTATTGACCTGATATGTCTCGCTGCAGGGCTTTAGATTTTTTAAAGTTTATTCAGCTTTTACACACACGTAGAGTCAAGCTAAAAGCCCGTTGAAAATGTTTTCCAGAGATTTCTATTTCCTAACACTACTACAAAAAGAAAATATACGGATGTGTGAGGTACCAACTACAGAAATTTTTCAATGAGCAATGTACGCTTTACAATCGCTTGGATTTGGGTGCAGTTTCATTCTATCATGTAGCGTGTTTAAAATATAATCTGAGCTTGCAAACGCAAGATTGCTGTCCTGTGACCTGTGCAGAAAGGTCGTGTATGACCATGGAGTTTCATAACAGTGCACTAAAGGAAAAAAACGGCACTGGTGTCTATGGGAGCCGCGATGCATGACATTTCAGCCATCAAGGGAATTGTAGGCTGCACCAATTGGCCTAAGCTTAATTTGTTCAGCTTTGTGTGACCTGCAGCTACTTTGCTGCAAGTCCAGCAGTCCCACTTCATCGCCTTGAGCCTTCTATAGGTCAATGCTACAGCTTTAGAATTCCGCGGCACTTTCTCCTCAAACGGGGATGAATACGAGCCAGCCTCTACAGGCGCGCAAGCCAGACTAACGTCTTGAGCCAGTCAGCTGGTAAACATGCCTTCAGAGAACACCGCAGAGTGCACGAACAGCACAGCGTGAGAGTTTGCTGAAGAATATGAAATCATAAATTCAAGATACAGCTGCGTCAGCCATCCTTTAATCACTCTCACAGATGCGGAGATTTCGTGCTTGGTGGGGGGTGTAAGGTATTTTTATGCCTTCATGTTTGCATATAATAGTCGCGTCACTCCAGTGCTCTAGAGAAGGTTTATTGAGGTCTGAGCAACAGGGCTCTTACCAAGCGCGTCGGTTGTGCTTGCTCGCCAGAGCGGGGACACTTCTTTCTTTAGTGGTGTGAGCCTTCGCCTTGCCATACGACCCACTACTAGAAGTAGGTGGCAATATATATGACACGTTCCTTCTATTAAACTTTCAGTTGTTGGACAGCACTTGTGTCGTGCACTTAGTGTTTTTTGTGCTTTTTTGTGTGTTGATTGTGAGGAGCGTGTTTCTCTAATTTATAGAAAATTAGCACTTGTCACAAGCAAAACTCTGTCGCGCTTTCAATTGATTCAGAACGTGAAAAAGGCAACATGGACAAAATGAATAAACAACAACAATACTCAAAAAAGTGCCAGGCCGAGGAAGCGCTAAATCCAACAGAGTCCAAGCTTTGTTATAATTGTTTATTTCAATGCACATGTTCAAGAACATCACTCTGTCGAGCCACCAATTTTCAGAAACAAAGCAAGACTGCTACGATTGAAACAGAAAGAAAAAAAAATTCCTGGAAAATAATCTCAGAAATTGGATAGCTATGAATGACACTTTTTCTATCGCAGAAAAGCTTTGTGTAAGGCCAGTAATAAAAGGCAGCAAGCCATTTAAAAAAAAACGACGTGAACTGATGTAAGTTAAAAAAGACTAACTTTGCTGTTATTGAATAAATGGAAATGAAAAAAAAGGCTTCTTTTCACAACGGCAAAAAAGAAACGAATAACACCTAGCTATTAAGAACCTCAAAAAAGTTAGCAAGCTGCAAAAAAAAAAACGGCTCTGGCCGGCAAGTTGCCTTCTCGCATTACTAAGGCACATTTCTTTCCATTCACTACAAAGTCGTCGGCCTGAATAGCGTCGGTGGCATTGAAATCATTTGCTGCTTTCTGCACTGCACTACATTATGATTGACTTGTTCCAACTCGCCTAACAAGCAGCGTTGCTAAGGTGGCATTGAAACCTTTGTTTCACACACTAAGCTTTTTAAAATCGAAGGTTTTTTCTGTCAGCTGCCCGTCAGTGAATTGCAAGCTTTTATTTGTCCTTTTTATCACCATCTCTCGACGCCTTTTTGCTCGCACCTCTAGCCGGAGCGACAACCGAGCACACAGAAAGTTTTTGGCATCATCGCTCACGTAAAACACACAGTTTTGAGAACAGTCAGTCGCACAAATTTAGAAATACCTGGTAAACTGAAGGCCAATGCCTCCACAATCGTTGGTTTTTAGAGCCGTCCTTATGCAGTGACGCTCTCCTCTAACTGCGGCAACATAGCAAGC